ATATATATATATATATATATATATATATATATATATATATATATATATATAGTATGCAGGTGACTGAATTTGTTTGACATTTTGTACAGAGCTTAAAATTATATTTACTGTCTGAAAAGTACTGACAAAATGCAAATCAGAATGAGTTTTATTTTATTGGTGTTTGGCATAAGAAAGCAAAAGAATAGTTATTTTCTGGCTTTTTCCCTTTAATAAAGGGATCTCTGTAATTGGTGCACTGCAGTGAACCACAGGGTGTATACCAGCTTCCCTCTTCAGTCACGCCAAGCTACCACAGCCCTGAGCCAACAATTGATCAGAGTTGGGTATGACTGCATGAGTCCAACTGCCACTATGCATTTGTGCAAAAGTTATTCGTTTATTTGAATGGTTACCCTGAAATTAAAGAATAAATGAAGGTTAAACAATATCTTAAAAAAAGATATTTTTTCCTGTTTTAGGGGAGTCATGAAGGAAGAAGATGCTGTCACCTGATTTGAACTATTATGTAAGTGAAAATCAAAAGCCTTGTGGAGACATTTATGTGTGTTGCGGACTTAAAGCAAACACATCAAACATCCACAGGTCAATAAAAAAGCGTGAGTGCTCTGCAAAGCTTCAACATTGGTGGTTGTGTCAATAGGTTTGTTCCTGATACACTTTTTTTTTTAATAACACATTCTCTATCTGTGGGTTTTCTACTGTCCCTTTCCTTTGTTTAGCCATGTGAGTGTGAAGCCTCTCCACTATATGTGTGTGGGTTGAGTGGATCTCTCTTTTCACCCTCACCATTACTGCATGAAAGACCTGTCACTCTGGATTAGCTCTATCAAGCTTGGCCTCTCCCCTTTTCCATTTATGTGTGTGTGTGCGTATTAGTGTGCAGTAGTGGGGTTTTGTGTGTGACTGTGCTGTGAGTGTTTGTGTGTGTGTGGAGGGGGTTAAGAGGGGGTGGACTGAGTAGCAAAACCCATTTTATGCCAATTGAAGGTCATAACAACCAAATGCCCTGAAACTGCTAGTTATTTTTAAGTTACTTATGAATTGATCCAACCCATGATGAAATAACATGATACATCAGTGTTAAGCTTTATTAGTGGAATTATTAGTAAACTGATATTAATTAGCTACATTAGTATCCCTGTCTAAGTCACTTCCACATCTTAACCTGTGGATGTGCTGCCATGTTTCAGCATCTCTCTGCAGGGCTGCGCTCTTGCTCCATCTCCCAGATCGACTATGATCAGCATCGTTCCCACGCAGGACAAGTGTCCCGCAGTGGCGTTCTAGTAACACAATATGACAGTAAACACACACACGCACACCGAACCTGGTCTAACAGGGTATTTACTAAGCCCTGCGCGCACAGCACATGCCCCAGTAAGCACATCCAGACTGCAGTTCCCTCAGAATGAGAGAAATGAAAGGGTTTAAACCTGTCTGCTGATGTCCGCAGACTGTTAGAGTTACTAACCTGTGTCAAATCTCACACTACCCTTCCAAATTTAGCCTATTTATTATTTTTAATAATTTAATAGGATTGGATT